AGCTCTGCATATGTTATCCAAGCAACATGTCAAATGATTCTCTTTCCATATGAAGCCTTGTGGAGAAATCCTCGTTGTGTGGTTTGTGACTGTGCTCATTTCCAAGGAAGTTGTTAAAATGATGCATCTTAAAAGGATATGATTTCGATCGTGAATGGGTTCACTTAATGCTCCAGGCAGACGTTGGCTCGTAGCTTGAAGTGTATGTGCTGTAGCAACAAGCTCTTTCTTCGATGTCTCTTACTCTATCTGAAGAGTCAAATAAAAGAAAACAACAGAGTGTACTTCAAAAACCATTCATCAAAAAGCGAAATTGTAGGATCTCACGTCACGTTCGGGATGTACAGCGGAACAGTTCTAACCCAAGTCCAATGTTCAAATTAGGCAAGGTTCCGTACTGCCGAATCTACAACTGTCATTGTCAGAAGGCCAAGTATGTTACTCATTGTACAGCGCCCAAATTAGTAAGACATTTTCTAGTGCAGTATTGCGAATGGCCACCAATGCAGGTTATAAACCTCCGCCATTGCTACTACCATTGGAATCTCTGCACATTTCACACACCAATCATCAAGTGTGCAGGGTCGACGGCTTGCTGGCTGTGTCGCGACTCTTTGAGCAGAAAAGACTTCTAGGACCCGTCCACTCCATTTCAGCAGTGTCGGCGTAGGGCGTTGATCACCATCCTTGTTAACATCCAGAACACAACTGAGGAAACAACCACTCCGAACTTATGACAAAAATATTGAGGTGCTTATCCTCTGTCTCCATTCCTAAAGGTGGATGAAAATTATTTGTTCCTGGGTATATTGATTCAGCGCTGTCTGGGCCTAATGTGAGCATTCTAAGATTGTTGCCTATCTCAGGGAAAATATACATGTCTCTAGTGGCTTCCTGAACTGAAATACATTCTGGATTGTGACATGGACGAGCTGCTGTGACTACTACTACTAGTAATGCTACTGGTGACCCTACTCGTTCCTTATTCAGCGAACACAAGATCGAAAAGACGACTTGTTTGTATGTCGATACACACATTTCCGAGCCCAAAGGATGCGGTCACCCTGGGTTCTTTGATTCTTGCACCATCGAACCAATCAGAATCAAATAATTGATCAGATGGGAACGTCAGCTTGCTGCATCTGATCTGATTCTTCTCGACACAGTGGTGGAAGGTGTGTTGACCAAGATTCAGCTGGCATGATCAGCGGAAGTTCTTGCAAAATTTGTAGAATACAGTTCATAACACGCGATTGGGAGTTAGAAAGGAAGATATCAGCTAAAACAACCTCTGATCCACGATACCCCAAAGGAGTACTGTGAGTGATCATACGATTTGAGCTGGATTAAGTATATTTTTCTGAAGGTCACCAACTTCCAAATTTTGGGGGACCAACCTTGCAGCAAACTTGACTCAACTGTGGTGGAATGTATCGACAGGAACCTCGCCCGTCATAAGAGCAATAATGACAGACGCGACAAAGAGCAATAATGACAGAAGAAGTAAGAGCGGTTGGCTAATTGGCTTTGCGGTAGTCTAGAAGGCCTTAACGATGTATCCTGCGGTCCAGCGCGCATTGTCAAACAACACGAAAATCGAGTGAATGACGCTGCACGACCTCTTTGTTGACGCTGTTAACTCCCACCTTTGGAGCGCTAGATGCTTTAAGACTTCCTCTCAGGTTAAGTCTCTTCTTTACTATTATCCCAACAAGTTTGTTTAAGGTTGCTATCGCAGAAAAGACCCAGAAGAAGTGCAAGAAACAACATCTTGATGTGTTGTTTGCCTATACGCGCAGATATATCGTTAATAATTCGTTACTTTAGGCTTCAGACTTTTTCATCTTCCCCGTGACCCATTAGTGCTGCGCTAACTTACATGCACTTGTCAAACGCCACAGATTTCGTTGCGTGATTCTCGAGAACATCTTCAAGTCAATCCTTGTTGTGAGCTGGAAGTGTTTTTTTGTGGGGTTGCCTTGCTATATGCTGAGTTCAATGCTCTTCAACGATAGTTAATAAAGAAATAGTCCACTGAGAGGCAGTCTTCAACGGCTGCATTGCTATCTAAGCCAATATCACGACACAAGCTCTTTTCAAAACAAGAGAGATAGAGATAGATAAATAGAGAGAGAGAGAGAGAGAGTACCCAGAAGCAGGACGATGCGGCAAAATGAAAATGGGAGGCAAAAATTTTGATAATCTCCAAAACAGTCTCCTAATGTGAATATTGATATCCTATTCAATCTCCTATTTTGAGCAACAAAATCTCCTAATTTGACTTTGGTCTCGTTGCAGCAGTTCCTAAAGACTTCATCTTTGGAGTGTTTCCGGAAGATTATTGTGTCTGTCTGTAACTCGGTGAAAAGAACAATGATCTCTTTCGGAGTTGGTCTTTTCGGTTGGCTTCAATGTGAAATGAAACCAAAAAGTTTCCCTGAGTTGAGCATTGTCATTGTATATCTTCCATATATCAAAGACAAATCTGCCAGTTGCTCATGTTTTAGCCCGCCCAAGTCAGCAAATTATGAACCTGGATACTTCGCTGGAGATGACATCTTTCAAGAATTCTCACCTTGATCCTTGAGTCAGCCGGGGAATAGATATTGGTTCAGTAACATTTTGGTTTGAGCGCTTCCATCCATCTCACTGTGGGATTTCTCCGTTGGGCAACCATTGAAGTACACGACGCCCATGTTCCACACGGAAGCTACATTACGGGCTATATCAGCTCGAATCATGTCCGTTGAAGCGGAGGAATGTGATTCAGATCGATGATACGCTGATCATACCGCTCTGATGGGTGCAAGTCATGCAAGGCAGTCTCTAAGAGCAAAGATCTGTGTTTCACGTCCGCAGGCAGATTCTTGCTGATCGCCTGTTGCGTGGTACTGGTGCGCTAGTTTCACGCGACGTGGAAATTAGTTTCTACGCAGGTTGCGTAGAACTAGATATCCCAGGATTTGCATCCATCGCTCGCCTGTGACTGACTCTGGGACATCCGGAGAGTTGGCTGGGGCCTGTTTCCGGTGTGGAAGCATTAGTTCCAGAGTCTGCTGGAGTGTGTCAATGATTCAACCGAGGATAAGCTTGCGAGTTGCCCAGCTCCTGAGACAGCCTCATTGCGGTGCTGCTCGGACGTCACAAGCGGTCTCGGACCTAGCACTGAAGGTGGGTGGCGACTGGACTCAAGGTGGGTGGCGACTGGACTCATCCCAACGTGGAGGACATAATGACAGCCCACCAGTTGGGGCTCTTTTTCATAACGAGGCAGCACCAGAGTGAGGCGAATGCAGTTGCGTAACTGGAACATATTAAGACCCATCAGAACAAACATATAATAATCATCAACACACTACCGTTGAAGGCACAGTTGAACTGTCGTGCGGACAAGAAGTTTTATGAAGTGCAAAAAGTGACTGAACTAAGCTAAGTGTACCTACAAGCTGCTGAATCGCGAAAACACGAGCTTGCACTCTGTGGTAACTTTTCGATAGCTACGGCGTTGGAATTATGACAAACACTGATCCAGCACATTTGGCCACATTACTTCTGATCTGTCAAAACTCAGGCGAAGCTAGCTAGCTTTGATAGCCTCAATATCCGCTGCTCCATTTCTTGCCACTAGAAACATTGGCAGTGTAGTGCCCATCAGCAGCATGGAGTAAGCATCTACCAATCACTCGAGTTCTTGAAGTAAGGCCTGCTCCTATGGCTCCAAGGTGACAAGAAAAGCTTCGAAAGTGACTGCTGTGAGTGGCAGCGGATGGTCAGGAACAGCTGCCGTGAAACATCAATGCTTTAAAAGGTAGTCTTGTTCGATGGGCATTGGGAAGCTGTACTAGTGGAGTGTTGAGCATTGGTGTATCCAACTGTGGGGACTAGACGATGACTGCCGGGGCTGACAAGGTGTACCGGTAGTGATGTACTTGAAATGTGGGTGAGGAGCGTGGGGATCGATTTCACAAATAGTGAGATGGTGTGCTTCGCAACAATGACGGGGGCAGAACGAACCAATGAGGGGGCTTTCTATGCCATGGGCCGTGGAACGTCAGCGCGAGAGTTCTCCAGACGTGCTGCTGTTCAAAACGCAGATGATAGGGCTGCTTCAGTAGCTGCATGCCAGTGTCAGACCTGCAAAAGCTTGCATACACTATGAAAACAACTTGTACCAGGAGTGACTATCTTTGGACCATGGCACCGTCCTCTGATGATCTTTTTGCATCTAAGTCCAACTGAACGGTGATAAACATACCCTACCGGTACCTTACACATTGAACTCCCTACCACTATGAATAAAAAAACTATCAATCTCTATTATACTACTCTAGAGTATGCTGTTGCTCGTGAAAGCGGAGCAAGCACTTTTGGCCACAGAACAAAGGAGAACTTCGTGAGGTTCGGAAGGAAGCGGTTCTTATATGCCAAATGTATGGGATACCTACGAATTCTTATATAATGATGGGGAATTTCAGAAAAATCTTGATAGAAGAGATATCGAGATCTTCCTTCTGGCTTCTTGAAACCAACTCTGACAAGATTTCAATGACTCAGAAATAACGAAGTTTTATTATTTAGGCTGCACTTCATTAGACGATCCGCTGAACGGTGCCGTAACGAACTCATATACCTCAGACACACGAAGGTGCCCACTTTCCTAAGGAACGAGCCTAGTGCAAGCCCCCCACCGGAGAAGTTTAAAAACTCCGGAGGGTGCTTTGCTACTATCTAACTACCCCAGGGCTACTAGATTGCCATCTATTTCTATGGTAAGACCCCCTCGGTACGTAGTTACCCTGTTTCATTGATTGGTCTGCACGTTGCGTGCGTGCTCTTCTCTGAGTGCCTTGTCGACGATGGGCAGCCAGTTAGTTGGCTAGCCACGCTTTGATATCGCCGGGGCCCTTTGCCATTTGCTCATCAAGTGGATGTACAGCCATGCTAAAAAGGAGAACTGGCAGTCTTGTTTGACTAGTGACTCGAGCTTTGCCGGGTCACAGTAACAGAAGAAACGGTCAAGAAACGGTCCACAACGAGTCATTACACCGGTCAGATCTGCCAACGCACCTTAAAAATCCAAAACGGACCCAATCCAAGTTCCAACACAACCGGCCCCTCCCCAATAGTATCACATCACATTGTTAACAACCATAACACCATCAAACCTTTCCCCGTGACAAGAAAAATCATTTTAGCTTGCCCGGTACTTAAGCCTACACGAATCCACAAAAAGACTCACACTTGCCTCAAACAAAAATGGGTCTCTCCAACCTTGCCAATAAGAATCTCCAGCGAGTTCCTCCCAGGCCCCCCTCGCCCACTGAACCTCGCATCACCCTTTCAATCCAGCATCGACAAAATGCCTGAAGTATCTGCAGAAGTGAAAGGGCAAATTATGACAACATGGATTGAACTCCTCGACAAGGATCCCAGCACAGCGGCAGCAGCCTGGTGTGACCTCAATGAAGAGCTCATCGCCAATGGAGACGAAGACAAGCTCGGCCCAACACTCATGCTGGTCAACACAGGACAACACAACTTCGACATTCTCAGCTGCCTCACCCGGGCCCCGACCCATGCCGAAATCCGAGGCGCCTCGGCCACGGCATCCATCCTTGGAGCAGGAAAGTTTATTGCCATTCTCGGCACTCGCGGCGCCAAACCCGACGACGAAGACAAGTGGCTCATAGCTCCCGTGGACCCGGAAGACACTTTCAAACTGCGCTCCCACAAACTTTCCACCTGGGACGACATACCAGAACCCGACGCAACTGACACCCGCGACTCAAACAAAGGTTTGGAGGCCACAGATGAAACCACCACTGAGTACTACCCTATCCTTCCACTCATAGGAAAAGATGTCTGCCAACTCGTGCATGACGGCCTCTGCTATGACAAACCCACCGAAGAAACAGACAAATGGAACCCCTTTGTCCACCGCCCAGAAACTCAAACCGTACCTCGACGACATCAACTTCCCCGATGACACCACGAAACAGAAAGTCCACAGCATTCTCCTTGGTCTGACAACCGCATCCTCAAACCAAAAAGAATGC